TGATCCAAGTGTCAGGGATTTTGTTAAATAGAAAGTGTTTGTGGGCTTTAATAATATTTTCTCTAAAGTATTTTTTATCTAGAATTGAAAAGTTTGTTCCTGCGGTTTCATTCACTTCTTCAAAATTTTGTGGAAGCGGTGGCTTTGTATCTAAGTAAGATGGAATGTCGACCCAGTCCTTGGAAAGAGAAGTGGAAAATAAATATTTTTTTGAGAGAGTTTTGAAAAGAGAAGAAATCTCAGTGAGATCAGTTATTGGTAAAAGGATGTTAATATCAAGATTGAGTATTTTGCTAGGTAAAGAGGGAAGTTTTGTTCGAATAAAGAAATAATTATTGGATAAAAATTTGAAAAAATAAGTTTTGCAGAGAAGAGTTGTTAATTTGTAGATAGTTAATGTGCTATCTCTTGGATTAAAGGGAAAAAGATGAACATATTTGGGTTCAAGTAAATGATATGTAGAAGGAAGAGGTTTTTGGAAGGAGAAAGTTCGAAATAGGAGTCAGGTAATTTGAATGGTACTTGGTATTCCTCACGGAGATATTTTTTGTAATCCGAAAGTTTGAATAATTCACTCCTTTTTTTGATAGGGAAAATAGTTTTATATTTTGTTAAAAGCTCATTGGGGTTGTCCGGAAGTTGGGGATTTGATTTAAAATATAATTCAGGGAGCTTGTTAAACTTGTAATAAGAATGAAGAGTACAAAGTGTTTGAATGAGATGGGATTTGTCAGTAATTGGAAGATTGCATAGGAGTTTAATTTTAACTTGGGATGGAATATCCTTTGGATTTTGTAGGAGATCAGGAAGAATTTCGTCAAAGTATTTGTTAAGGGCTTCTTTAAGAGATGTATATTCGACAAAGAAGAGTGGTTTTCTGATAAAATAGTTAATGAGATAAGAGAGAATACTAGCTAGTTCATAAAAAGAAAGGTTTTCAATATTGATAGTTCTGAGAAAGATAATAGAAAGAATGGTACTAATTATGACACGAATTTTTTTCCTGGTTTTGAAGTTGATAAAAGAGAGATTGTGTTCTTTTTATATTTTTCTTGGAAGTCTTTCTCAATATTAATAAATTCTTTTTGGTGAGAGGGCATTATATGCTCTTTGTTTGTAAAGATACTGAAGAATGTACGGTCCTTGTGTTTGAGTTTGCTGATGATTGCTTGAAAAAAGTGTGGGGGTATTTGGGTGCCTTATGGATTTCATTGATTGTTTCAATGATGATGTTAATATCATTGGAAGCTGGTAATAATTTTTTGGCTAGTTGTTCAGTGCTTTCTCTGAGAATTTCGTGTTGTTTAATATCTCTAATTTGTTGAAGTTCCTCTTGAATTTGGTTATTGAAAGATGATGACCAGGAGATAGTTTGGTTAGGAGGATTTGGAGAAGATAAATTTTTTGAGTTAGTGGGCTGGGAGGGAGACTTAGAAAGTTTGTCGAGGTCGACAATGTTATCCACCATCATGATACTTAATTGGTTGGTTGGGTATATGATACTGATTTTTATATTGAGACTAGAAAGAGAGTTTGTAGAAATAGAAAGTGATACCAAGGTACTTGTTAAGTTGTTATTTTTAGGATTTGGTGGATCGAGGTCAGAGAGTTTTATTAGTTCATCAGGTGTTTCACTAATTTCTATGGAGTTGCCAATTTGGGAAGAAGAAGAAGTGATGGACAAGGGGTTTGCATGTGCATGCATTGTGGCTGTTTGATCAACATTCCTTTTTTGGAGAACAGGAGAAGTGATAGGCGAACGATCATTTTCAGGGGTAAGCTGACTGGGGTTTTTTGCAATTCCTTGGAAGAGAGAGAGAAATTCTTGAAGACGATTATAGAGTTCAGTGTTGAGTTGGATTTTTTCACTTTTTTCTGCTATATTGCTGATATATTGAAAGTTGAGGGGTGTTCCTGGTGTTAGAGATTGAGATACAAATTTGAGGGAGTTTTCCATGATCCTTTTTTTTGACTATTTCCATTGTAAAGTTAAGAATACGGATGTCATTTGTAGTGCCTGCTTTGACGATTTCCTCAATGTTTTTTTCTTCTTTTACAATGAGGAATTGGTTGGGGAAGTTTGTAAGGCTGGTAATGAGGAGAGATCTTGCAAATTCTGTTCTATTAATTGTATTATTGTTGAGGTCGAGATAGTAAATTTGGAAGAGTTGATTCCAATTCTAATGGATAGTAGCATATAGAAATTGTTTTTTGTTGCTATTTGTTGTGGGATACTCCATGTTGGGAGTTATTTAGCGGTTGAGTGCACTTGAGAGTGCTGAGAGAAAAAGTGTTTCTTGGAAGACTATTACCAAATAAGGAAATTTTCAAGTAAAAAATTGATTGACAAGAAGTGTTTGTTATTTTTAATAATATATCTTAAGGTAGCTTCAAAAATACTATATTTTTTTACAATACTTCTATTACGTATATATACTAATAGTTATTTAATTATTAAATCTTAAACTTAAAAAAATATTTTATTGTAATAATATATTTTTTTTGTGAAAAATAAACTATGAAGGAAAATTTGTTAGAAAACATTCAATAAACAATAAAAAGCTATTGATATAAAAAAAATAATAAAATAAATACATTTTTGATAATATCTTTCAAGAATAAGATAAAACATCAAGTAATAATTATAAAAATAATGCAAATAATAAAGTTTTATTACTAAAATACTAATTTTTGTTCAAAAAAAAACTAAAAAAAACTTTCAAATTAAATTTGAAAGTATTTTAAATTTTAAAATAATTAATAAATAAATAAAAATTTCTGGATATTGTTTATAACAAGTAATGTGAGCTCATAAAAAGAAAACATATTTTCATGTCTGTATTATTATAGAAGTAACAACTGACAATTTCTAGACTTATTTAAGTAATATTCATGGAATAACTAAAGATAGCAATGTACAAACAACACAACAAACTGAATCTATTACTATAAAACAAGCAACTTTAATAATACTGAACATTAATAAATTCAAAATTAAGCACTTATCACTTGGATGATTAATAATTTATTACCATTATATATTTTAAATCCAAGTTATTTCAAGAATTTATTGTTTTATTTGATTAACATTATCAGCTATCTAATAATAAAATAGTAAAACAAATTATTCATTAAGTATATAACTATTTATTAATCATTTTGTAACAAAAACTTTAAAATATAGCTCTTTCATATTCACACACATGTAATTTATAAACTGCTTATAGTTATAAAGCTTATTTTAAAGTTATATGCTACTGGATTGATTCTGATTTCAAATTAAATGAAATTATGCTTGAAAATATTTTGTTTTTATTTTCATACTGGAGAAAATATTTGTAATATATTACATAATTTTATAAATAAATGGAATATTAGTAATAAAGTAAAAACAATTACAACAGATAATGAAAAAAATATGATAAAGCTATAAAATTAATGAATACTAAAATATTCAATGAATCTAATAAAGTGCACATATTTTACAACTGGTTATTGAAAAGAGATTAATATCAGCACAAGTATTAATAGCTCAAACAAAATAACTTTTGGTATTTTTAATAGCATCAAAACAATCTGAATATCTTGAACAAGCTTAAAAAGATTTATTTCATATACCTAAACAAGATACTATTAAAAATAATTATAAATATCTTTGGGCTATTCAAGATATTTATACTTGCTGAAATTTATCTTACTTAATATAAACATGGCTTTTATATCTTAATAATACTATTAATATTATAAAAATTTCTCTTAGTCAAGCTATTAATTATTAAACACAAAAGGAATATTATCAATTAAACTTAATTATGTTGACAGATCTTAAATAGATTGCTTTGAAAAAACTTATTATAAACTTATTTCCATTTGCCAAAGCTATTACTTGACTTGGAACAAATAAATATTAAACAATTAGATTTTTAAATCCAATATTAGCATTAACCAAAGTTAATTTGTGAGAAATATATAATCAAAAACAAAATAAATTGGAATTAATCTGTTTAACTACTTCGGACACTATTTTTGATTCTGATATTGGATATAAAAATGTATCTGAAGAAAAAATAGAAGGATTAAAAAAGAGTAAAATTAATATTAATATTTCACAAGATTATATTTATTTGAGCAAAAAAGTACAAATCCCATTATACAAAGCTCTTGAATATTATTGGAATGAACCTAGTGGAAATGAGCTTTTATCCTTATTATTGGATCCACAGTATATTTCAAAAAAAGAAAATTTAACAACAATCAAATTATTTTTAATTGAAAATAAGCAAGTTACTTTAGCTGACAAACATGCAAGTGATTCTTTAAAAAAAAGAATGCAATTTCTTATGAAAGATATTGAAAATGAAGTCGCAAGATATATATCAATTTTAGAAATCAATATGGAAGCTGATACATGTACTTGGTGGGCCACACAAAAGGGTAATTTTCCTATTTTATTTGAGATAGCTTAGGAATATTTAGCAATTCAAGTAACAACACACCAAGTGAACGGCTTTTTTCTGATGATGGAAATATTACAAATTCAAAAGAACTTTACTTGGATCACTATTATTTAATCTTGTTCTTTTTTTTAAACTGAATGTACAATATTTAGTCAAAAATCAAATATAAAAAAAATATATTTTTTGAATTTACTATATAACGTATATAATTTTATTAATTTTAATAATAAAAATTATTTATTTTATCCGAATAAACTATTCGAATACATCTGAATATTCGAAAAATATATAATACAGACACTACTAACCTTTATTGATATACATTAATCGTTTATATATTATACGTTATAAATACAAAACTCTACTCAATGTATTGCATTTCAATTGCTTCGTTGAATTTAAACAAACGTAAAAGGTATTTGAACACCACTAAATTATAAATGTACGCAAATAAATAATACATAATATTAACAATGAATCATTTTCTAAATACAATTAATATGGAAACAGTTTGAACGATAAAAGGTTAATATTATTCAACTATCATAAAGAAAAGAACAAACTATCTTTAAGATCATGCAAAATAATTTCCAATTTTGCGTTTCTCCTGAAAATACAAAGATATCGTTAAAAAGCAAGATTTTTATTGTCATGAGATCGATTGTACATACCCGTCAGTAATACCTCCATATACGCGATAATAATCGTTTATTGGATTAATGGTGTCACCAGGATACTTTCTATTCTCTTTTGTATGCAACTTATCATGTAATTTTTGACTGTTGTTTCTTTCTGGTTTTTCATTCTGTATGGAGACTGTTAATGAATTTCTCCCCCTCGTCATACCGGTTTTGACCTGACATCAATTAAACGTGTTAGAATTTTAAACTTTATGTACCTTGCATCCAATGATACTTACAACCCATGTAATCACAAGGTAATGATAACGTTCACCGTCTTTCACTTTAAAAGAGAGTATGCCTTTTGTAGCAAGCATTCCTGAAATTTTACTGTTCTACTATTAAAAATAAATTATACAAATTAAAATAAAGAAATCGTAGGTTCTTACGCTTGGTCTTCTTCTGAAGGGTTAACATTACAACATATTTGCTCGTCGATATTACTTCCAGTAAATAATTCAGGTTGACAAAGTTGTAAAATGCTGTGTTTATTAGAAACCTTAATTTCTAAACCTACATGCCGACCCCTAAAGATCCTTTTGAATTCGTTCACGATTATATTGCTACCGTATTCTACAAGAGACATTTTGAGATAAAAAATGTTTTAAAAAAAGGGTTCTATTATAAGTCATCGTGATGTTGTACACTGTAATTGAGCTATTTGACATTTGAGTATTTCTTTCAAGTCGGAAATAAGTTCCGTCAATGGTGGTTTTTTCCCCTAATGTCATGTGAAACCTCTCCAGCAGTTACTAGCTAATTGATGAAAGAATCTTAACAAGGTTATGTTTACACAGCAGATACGGCTTTTACGATGTTTATCCAGAGTGATTCAGAATCTCGTGATGTAAATCAGGTAAAGTGGTGTGGTGCAATAACTCAATAGCACAATTAAATCTCATTTGTTTGTACAGTATTTTACGATAAAATAGCGAAATATACTGGATTTAACTTACCATCTATAAAATTTGACAATTAATATATTAATCTCATTTCATATTATTTTACGAAAAAATAACGAAATGTACTGGATTTAACTTACTCTCTATAAAATTTGACAATTAATACAATTAAATATAATTTCATATTATTTTACGAAAAATAGCAGGATTTAACTTACTCTCTATTAAATTGAACAATTAACACAATTAAATCTTATTTCCTATTATTTACAAAAAAATAACGAAATTACTGATTTTAACTTACCGACTAAAAAATTTGACAATGTACTAATTAAACACCTTTAATATGAATAACTCAACAAACATTAACAAAAAAATATGCATACCGGCTGTAATAGTAACTAAAGTAATGCATGCGCAATCATTAAAATTTTTATATATCATAAAATACACGATTTATTTATTTTAGACAACAATATATTACCTGGTAAAAGGTTTCTGTAGCCAATAAGATCCAAGGACAAATTCTCCTTGCCTATATCCGAAGAAATAGTTTTTTGCTGATTTAAATCCATAGCATACCAATTTATGTCACATAAAACATAATTGTCTTGTTCTTCCTCGAGAAAAATTTCCTCGTGTAAATGATTCATGATTTTAAGATAAATTCTTTCACTCGTCCTATGAAATAAATATTTACATAAATATTTAAATCAATAAATGATAATGAATTTTTTAATAATATGTACTACCAATATTTTACAATTATTTGAAGCAAAGGCTCATTATTGGTAGGAGGATATTGAACTGAAGTCGCAACAAGAAAATCCGAAGACAATTGCCCATTTATGGTTCCACATTCAATTTCAAGAGATTTTATACGTTTTTGAATTTTTACATTGGATATTGTTCCATTCAGGACTCTAAATTTACGTGTATTTTTACTAAAGCATTCAACGGATTTTGGATTGCCAATCAATTGCCAAATAACCTTGAAATCTCTAATTCGATATTACTGAAATAAGCATCAACTCATAGATGTCAAAAAAAAGAAAAAAACATAAATTTTAACCTACCTATCGTTTTCGCTATTTAATTTTTCAATGAATATTAAGAATCCGGAAACATTTTTCGACTTAAATTTTACAATTAGATCATCTCTTCGTAAATTATTGGTAATTGCAGATCCTATGACATCATAATCATTACTTTTAAGATTATGTCCAAATTCCACTCGATAATATCGTATGTCTCCCTTAAAAAGTTTTGTAACCCCACTCATTAAAACCTTTTTTTGTTTCTCGTTATTTAAGTCCTGTATTTCATTTTGAGTATTTTGGTCAAAAAGGTCATATAATGGAATCAATTTCGTGCGATCCACCAAAGACCATGAATGTGAATTCTTAGGAATATCTCTCAACCAAATATCTATATTTTCCCGACTCACATTATTTGCAAGCTTTGGCACATTTAATTTGTATCTAATTAAAAGAGTTTCCCAGTTTTTTAAAGCCTCCTTAATATTATCAATTTGATCTATCGATCCTCTCCATTCGTCAAAATTCTTTTCACTATCAGAATGTTTTTCCCAATAATAAGGAAAATAAGTTGAAATAGTTAAGTTACCGCCGAAGGTAATTTCTGGACAAAAAACGTGTCCATATTCCGAGAAAATTATTGTCAATGCTTTATACGGATTTATGCTGTCTAACGCATTCTTAACATCATCCAATAATTTTTTAGATGGTTGACTTATCTTCCTTGTTTTTTCAAAAATCCTAATGCCTATTGTGCTTCTGAGAATTTGACATTTTATATATTCAAAAGTTTCACCAAAAGACATTTCTAGGAATGGAATTTTTTCCAAATCAATTTTGCGATTGTTGTATAATAGATCTTTTTGCGCTATAGGACCAGTAACCTTTACTTCTACTTGATCACAATGTTGAATCAATGGTATTGATATAAATTCTATTGCAGCCTTGATTCCGGGTACAAATCCTTCTGAAGTTGTCACCAAGCCGTGATCTAATCTATATTCGTTTATCCAGTATGGTAAATTTAAGTGTATATTATCGTTTAACCACTCTGTAATAGTCATTTCTTTGTGACTCTCAGTAACTCCAGGAATTAGACGATTATCAAAAACTTCATTGGTCATGTGGCAAACTACCTTTTCATACGCTATAATGGATAAAGTTTCATACTCATAAAGTTTCTTCAGGTAATTTACCTGTAAATAAACATATATCACACGCTTTAGTATAAGAAAAAAACGACAAAGAAATGCGTATCATATAATTTTCATGACAAGATACCATATCTTTGACGTGTCGAATAGTTACACCTTCTGAACTCTGCAAATCTATCAACATCTTTGAATAAATGTCTACAGAGCCGAAAAAATCCCTAGGTCCAAAACAAGCTTCGTTGATACCCCACTTTATATATGATTTTAGTTGATCAATAATTAAAGGATCGCTAGAATATTTTGTAAAGTTTCGAATAATCAATGATCCACCGATCAACACCTTTTCTAAAAAAAATTCAAAATCATTCGTAGATGATTTAATTGATTCAACAGGATTTCCAACATATGTGACTTTAAGTACAGGAATAAGAAGTTTGATGTCCGTTCTTCCCAATGCCGTAAAATCATTGTGGTTTTTGACTGCAAATTTTTTCGCAAATGTGTCCCACGGTAAATATTGCGTATCCTGAGAACTTTCCGTAATTGGTTCGTATACTAATGGTTGTTCAGTATATTTTTCCAATTTTAAATCGCCTCCATCAAAAATTTCTTTAGAAGGTACAAAGTCTCTGTTCTGATAACGAAAACTATGATTCAAACTAAAATGTTGTACCAGCTCTTTGTCATTTTCATCCATAGTTAAACTTTAGGAGAATTCTGAGACAATTTTATAAGTACAGTGCCGTAATATAATAAAGTTACAATACGCCATTGTACTACTGTAATCTTCAATTCTGTATTCCAATTTTGATTGGATAACCTGCATAAGTATAAGTGTGAGTTTATCACGCCAATCGATAAACACTTCAGTGTATACTGTACCGTGGTCGAGTTTTTTATAATTCAGACGAACATAGTACTCATTTTGTTCCATTGTTCCAGAGATTGTACACTTGAGAATCCTTAAAATTTTCTCAAAATGAATATAAAACAATTAATAGAAAGAAAACTTCCCGATCGAACAAAACATGTCGAAGAAATTTGTATCAAAATTAATAGCGACGATGGAATGATAATTAAACTTGATGACAAACTAACGCTCAAGGATGTTCGAAACCGATTTTCGATACACCAAAAAGAAGATAACAGAATATATATTGTTGACCTCAACAGCGAGTCTGTCGTTAATCCGGACCAGGATTCGTGCTACGTTGGGAGGAATGTGTCTGTGTCGCTAGCGATACCAAAGGTACGTGTGGTGATAGTTATCCTAGTCCTTTCTTCTGTGTTGGCTAGCCTCCTGCTCTAATCCTCCTTCCAAATTATAGGGCCTTGGATTCTCTCTAGGACAACTAAAAGACAAATAAGGAAGTTTATTAATTATCGTTTCACTAGCACAAACACTTGGGTTTCACAAAATGATATTTTATTAATTGACTTATGTCTCTTTGCCTATTCTGGATACATTGCATATTTATAATAATGTGACGCGTCTTCCTAATCTATCGTCGCGTCATGCAAATCCAACGAACTTTCTCAAACTCTGCGCCCATCAATCATGCATGATTGATGCCCCGTACGGCACCGCGCCAGATCCCCACATGTCGCGTCGTGCCTCCTACTACAATTTTTATGCCAACAATATATATACTAACATGCTTTTTTATAACAATGGATGCATCCAACGTTGTGAAGAGGAGGTTAAGCTTTGGAAAGATAATTTGGTAGATGGTTATTTATGCTTAAAACTTCTAAAAATATTTCAAAACATTCCAAATGAACAAGAGCTCGTTAAAATATGCAAAATAAATATGGTTTAAAAACATCTAAAGACGAATCAACTAGATCTAACAAAAAGGCCTTTGTCATTGATCCTAAGTGCACATTTTAAGTGACATACGATGTCACTACAAAAACTGTAAAAGAGATAATCAACAACACTTATGAAGGATTATGCGATAAAAATTCAATCGTCGGGGCAAACGTTAAAGAAATCTTGTCATGATAAACACTTAACGTTAAAATCTCTCTAGCACATGAAAACACAAAAATGTCAACATACAAAGAAGAATCTTCCGAGAACTATGAGACAGAATACTTTCAAAAGGCAGTAATAGCATGTGATTATAAAATAAAATATTACCAACAGAAGGTTTTATAAAAGCAGTAAAAGATGCTGTAAATGGCGATAATCCCACGGAAAAGCTCAAAAAAGGTAACCAATGATTTTGGTGAATATGCAATTCTGAAAATGCGCATAGGAGGAAAATTGAGAAAATGTGATTTCAGTGCTAAAATAGAGAGACACTAAATAAACACTAATCAAGAACTGCTAACGGCGATCTCCAGATTATCGAAGTAACAATTGATAATGCAAATGAGCGTAAATTTAATATTAGTATCTACAAAGAGATTAATAAAAGTAAACCGTTTGGTGGAAATACAGATTTGTTCACTAATGACCCTGATGGATAGAAAAAATCTCTAGATGATTATACAAAATGGGCTGTCATCAGTTACGAAACCATTGAGCCAATTTTTAATATTTTGCAGGAAGAATTACGCGAAGTGGTTATGATTATATTAGGACTAAGAATCTTATTTTCGTGGGCTCTCCGGCAAGCCCATCCTACTGGTCGTCTCTTCGGTTCACAATAAAGTAAGTTTCTAACTCTTGAGGCGTGTTTCCGATTTGGCTGTTCTCTCACTTTAATTTCTCTACCGACTAGCCTAGAACCCTTCTAATGCCAATTCAAGTTATAAATCTTACTTTGGCACACCAAACACAAGGTAAGAGTTTATCCGTCGAACTTTATTGTCTATTACTTAAGCGTTACTAACTCTAAACTAAACTCCTATCTAATTCATCTACATGCGCCTGTTATTTACAGGTTTACATCTGATCGCTATTCTACACTACTCTAGAAATCTCTACCACTAAACTTTCCCACCTTAATTTATCCTCCTCTAAGTTTTCCCACCGTCGATCTCATAACAAACTAATTACGTGACGCGGCGGCGTGTCACGTTACTGCGCCTACTTTTTACCCACGACACTATATAGTATTATAGGTCCGGTGAACAATATAAGATTTTCTGGTTACAGACAATACATTGTAAGGGGTAAAATAAAATAACCAATAATAAAATATTTGTCCAACGTTAGCAAGTGTCACGATAATAGAACCATGGGCATGTAATTAACATGACGAAAGTGAGCGACGATAATATAGGATCGTACGCGCCCCACAACAAACGACGATACTACGCCAACACGTGATCGATCTACGTTGAATGACAGGAGATCCGATCCTGTCACGACTAGACAATGTAATGACTGTGAGCAACGACAATGACATTGTGAGATTGCTCATCATCATGTAATAGTGCTTAAAATCATCATTTTGTAACTAGTATAGTTAGCTTAATCTATTTTATGCGATGACGAGAAAATGTATAAATAAGTAAGAAAATGTTGTTAATAAAGGGGTGCGTGTACAAGAAGTGAGAAAGACTCGGCTGAATTATACGCCTCAAATCACCAAATTTCTATCTAAAAGAAACACGAGCAACGGTTACGCGAACCTCTGTTGGCACTAGCGACAGACTCGCCGTTTGCCCGTCACAACATACATTATCTAAATATTCCCACCACTTTAAAATTTAATCTAAAAGAATGTAATATCTTTGCCTGTATTATGAGTAAAAATCAGGATAACTTATATTCTGTTCAGGTGATTCACATAGAAAATAAGTCACCCTCACTGTTGATTCATCGAATTTACAATCCGAAAAAAAAAATAGGCACGACTTGCTGATATGGTGGATGGTTACTGGTTATCCAAACAGTTTCATTAAAGTTGATAGCGAATTCCAAATTATGGATCAGTTTAAAGAACTAGAGGTTAATAATCACGATAAAATTCGTGTTACCGAAAATTTTCAGAATACATGTTTTGTCAATATGTGTTCAAAATATTACTAGAGAAGGAAGAGGTTTTCTATCGACACCAGACATTGCTATCAGTGTACATTTCATCAATAAAAAACCGCATTTATATGCTCGCATATTTTCCTATAACCTTGAAAAACAAGAATCATGCATATCTTCGGGTCTCTCCATAAATTGCAGGTAATTTTTATATCTTATACATCTATATTTCTCATTTATAAAATCTAACTCTTATTTTTTTTGTTATAAAGTTTAATTTCCTCTCAGTCAGGATTATATAAAAATATTACATTGGATAAAAAAACAGAATTATCACCATTTTCTATGCAGAAAAGGTTAAAATTCTCAATAGATAAACTATTTTCAAAAGTGGATGACAAACCTAAATTTATTAGTTTATTCTGTAATGCAGGAGTTACGAGTATATATAAACAAAGTCTATTTTTTGCTCCCTTTTCTGATTTATGTGACAAAAGTCTCGAAATATCATATATTAGTGTGCCTACAATTATGGATTCACTTTGTAGTTTAATATATTTAAAATAAATGGTCCTTGTGTTTTCTCTCTTAAATATAAATTTTAATAAAATGTATTTAAAAAATGAGAATATTCGTGATTGATTAAAACAAGAAAAGGATACTCGGAGTAGGGCTTGGATCCAATTTATAAAATCCGGATATTAAAAGAATAACTTATTCTTTTTTAATAAAGGTATCGAAATTCTGATTTTTTTATTTAAATCGGATTTATATCCGGCTATGGCGTGGTAAATCCGTCATGAATCCGAATATAATGTAATAAATCTGGTTATTATCCGGATTATATAAATAGATAGCATTTTCTAACATAGGTACAGTACCAGTTTTTTTACGTATATCTAAATTCCTTATCGCATTATTATAATCAATAGTCTTTTTTATGCTACCTATATGAATCAAATTTATTACGCGGTAGTTATATCTCTCCTTTCATAGATTCCAATCAATACCCGGATACAGATTCTCGTAACATGTGCAGAAAGGCAGCTATTAACATCACTAGGCTTTCAAGTTACTTGAAAATAGATCGTGTGATTCTTTTTGCATATAGTACCATCTTGTATTGACCTTTTGCAAACAGCTACTATACATTTGATGGATATATGCGATCCTGAATTTTTTTCTCAAGGTAAAAATGTACATACAGAATGCATTGATGCATCCTGATTTCTGCAAAGAAAAGCAATTTTGTTGATATCGCAGATTGTATGGGTATAGTCAAATGGCCCTCTTACTTATCATATAAATAGGATTAATGGGCGTCCAAAAAAGGCTTTGGGAAGGGAGGCCATGGAGAGAAGGTCAATCAGGTTCAAGTGATACTGACACCATCTCCATCATCCATACATCATTAGGAACCTGTGGATAACGGTGGCGACAGAATGGCGCCAATTTCTTATCCAACTATAAAATTAAAAAAGTCTCCAATTTTTCACACTCAGATACCCATACAATCGTCAACAAATGTGATTTCCCCTTCATTTCGGCAATTACACCCTACGCCCGCGGAACAACTAACTTACGTGACCACTTTATTCCAGAATGCATCTCAGCTATATAAACCTGCTCTCACCCTGCAAACCCATGTGCATTCTAAAGTTCAACGGTTAGTCTGTAATTTAGAAGACCATTTATATATAGACGTAGCATTAGGTTCAAATGTAATGTTAGCAGAGCCATCTATTATCCCATTTTCAAATCATTAT